TCTACAAACACACAAGAGAGGCATTTCACTTTCATAGGTACAAAAGGAACAAAACCAGTAACACAGTTTGAAGAAAAGACAGTTGGCCAAAATGCAGAAACTTCACAGAAGATCCCTTCTCAGCCCTTTCAGGTGTCACATCAGTACACCTGAGGAGGCACAAGTGGTCACCTATGGCTGCTGGCAGGGGACTGTGACAGGAGTGCAGGTTACATGAGAATAAAGTTTTTGCAGAGATCCCTGCTGAAACTGCAGAGTCACCACCCCTGGCCCTGCTCGCACAGGATGGAGATTTCAGCAGCAGTTCCTGAGGAGCAGAGCACAAGCTGGGTGGGAAATGCAGAAATCCATCAGACAGGTCCTGGCAGCCCCTCCGTGCATGGCCCACCCTGAGCCCAGGAAAGGCCCCACACCAGCTGGGCCTTCCCCTTCACAGGGCACCTCTGTAAAGGTGGTGTTGCTCAGCCATCTCACACACACTGCAGGGCAAAAGCTTCCACTGCCTGAACCCACAATAACTGCCTCAGTGCACATTAACAAGCGATAAAGTCCACTTATAAAAAAGAAATCCAATCACACAATCAAAAAGTTTAAAAACACACAGCACAGAGCACACAAAGGATGCCATGACTGCAATTCCCCTAAGAGCTACGCTTCCACTCATTAATATATACACAGGAACAGCAGAAATCCCACAAGAATTAACAAGATTTAACTAGAGCTCTGACACTTATTCCTACCTTTGTTACCACCACTTTTTGTGCAATTAAAGATTCTTTGATCAACAACTCTTGTTAGAAGTCTTCTCCTGTCCTTAACATTTTAATGAGGGGAGTGAGAGTTTTGCTGAGATATTTCAGAGATTTTTCTGAGATATCTCTCCCAAATTCCCCCAGGGGATGCTGACATACTCAGCACAGGAACACCTTCAGCCACCCAGAGAGCACTCAGACTGTGCAGTGTGAACTTGAAACGTGACTGCTCAGGCTGTTCTCACAAGCTCCTGACTTTATTAATTCAGGTTTAACCAAACCTGAGTTATGAATAAAGCTCAGTACACACTCAGTGAACATCTCTGCACCAGAGATCCAAACCCCAGCATTTATCTACCTCTTCTCTCAAGGGAGTATTTTCAATAGAAGGAACTAAAAACTGCAATAGCTACAGAGTTTTATTTAAACAATTAATAAAAGCACCTGTGGATACAGAGCAAACAAAAAGATAAAACGTTTTGAAAATATAGAGCTGAGAGTGTAAACATTCCAACCACTGTAACACAGTAACTATCCATAGTCTGGTCTCTTTTTATAAAAATAGTATTTGGATAATTCACATTTCTGCCTCTGTTCCCTCCTCAAAAGACACACAGCTTGCTTAGTCCAAAGCCAGAAAGCCCAAGAACTTCAAGGGAAAACAATAAAGTGCAAAACTCTGTTAAAACCTTCACTACCCAGAAAGCTTTGAATATTTCAACTGGAGAAGATGACAAGCAACATCAGCTCCTGCTGAGAACAAGAATTACAATTAAAGGGAGCAAAGGGAGTTCTCCACACAGAAAACTTGAGACCACTAGACCTCAACAGAAGCTCCAGTCTAGCTAAGAGTGATGAGAATTTAACAGCTCACTTATAAGGCAACTACACTGCTCCCATTTTGGTAATTGGAGAAAAAGGCACCATCACTTAACAACTTTTATTCATGCTGTTAACTCAGACCTGGATTTGAAAAAAACATAATTTTGTTCTTCATTCTCAGGGCAAGGGTATGCCTTTTGACACTATACTTAAGTCTCATATTAGTTAGTTGTCTGGTATTAAAAACTACTGATTTTATTTTGGTATTAATATTCTTTTTTTAAAAAAAAGCACAACTTACTTATAAAAAGTATTTCCAGATGTTCAAGTTTGCTAATATTTATTAACTGAGGAAAACTCTCGACAATATCACAAATGTTGACAAAAGCACTTTATTCTGCTAATAGCAAATTCCCTCTTTGTGTAAAAAGTCTTCTTTTGCTCTCACCTTGTCTTGTACCCACCTGTTATTAAAACATTATTTTTATCAAAACTGCCAGCAATATGGTCACATGAAGGCAGAGCCAACATGTATTTAAGTTAAGGGGGTGCCCCCAGTCAGCCTGGAAAGGCAATGCCAACCCCCAAACCATAACAAGGGAAACAAAAAGCACACCCCGATGAGATTTATGCCTAATGACTAAATGGAAAACCAGGAGCTTTAAGCTGGGCTGCAATGGACTGCAGGAGCACACAACTGACACAGCAGAGCAGTGGGGAAAAGGAGAGGAACAGTGCAGAAAATGCTTCCACTCCTCTGCAGTTATTTATTTCCCTGGTGCAATGTTCACATTGGATAGGCTCTCAAACCAAAAGGAAAATTTGGGATTAAACATATTCTACAAATTCAAAAAGCATTCCAGTAGGAAAGCCCAAGCTGTAAGAAGAACAAGGCAAACCAGTAACTGTTTTCTTCTAGAAGCTGATGTGGTTTTAGATACGAGCTGCTCTGCTCAACAAGTCTGGCTGCAAACCCAAACTCCTCACAACCTGTCACAAAACTCTCAGATGTGACTCCTGGGCACGTTACTAAAAAGGTACTGAAGGAAACAGACCTCTGTTCTAGTTGGATGTAAAACCATCTGGTCTTCTTTACTACAATAAAGGTGCGGACACCACGCAATCATAGTTTCACCAGCAGTATTTCTCTCGATCTCTTTTCATTACTACCCTCTCGCATCTGCCCTTCCCGCACGCGTTCACAGATTAATATCTGGAAGCAAAAGTGAAAGCAGGAGCCCGCGGGAAGCGACAGCGCTGACGGGTTTACAGCCCGGGATCTGCAAGCGCAGTTCACCCCTCCGGGGGTTCCTCGCTGCGATTCCTCCCCGTCCCGCACCCCCAGCCCCGGCAAAGGCGGCACTCGGCACAACTAAAGACTTCCAAGACATCGCCGGCAGCGAGCGCGGCACAGCGCGGTGTCCCGGGCGGTTCCACCCGCGGGCTGCTTCGGCCGTGCCAGGAAGGGGCCTGAGCTCGGCGGGGGAAGGAGGAGCTCCCAGCCCGGCGGGAGCCCGGCCCGAGGGGGGCGGCGATGGCGCGCAGGCCGCGGCCCCTTTGTGGCGCCCGGCCCGGCGGTCCCGCGGTGGCGCGGGCGGGCCGGGGCGCTTTCAAACCGCGCACGCACCGCGGCGGCGGAGCGGCCCCGCCAACACCGCGGCCCCCGAGCGGCACCCGCGGCCCCGGGCTCGGCCTCCCCCCGCCCGCCAGCCCGCCCGCCCCGGCTCCCGCCCCGGCATCGACCCGCACCACGGAAATGTTGCTGAAGCCGGTGAGCACCAGGTTCTTGAGCAGCTCGCAGTCGATGCCGCCGGCCCCCACCACCAGGACCCGCGCCTGGGACACGGCCTGCGCCAGCTCGGGGCGCAGCGGCCCCGACAGCGCCGCCGCCATGACGGACACGGCGGCGGCTCCGCGCGCCTCCTCTCGGGCCCGCCGCGACTGAGCGCCGCCCGCGAGCGCGCAGCGCCCCCTGGCGCCCCGGAGGGCCCCGCGCTGCCCGGGAACGCCGCGGCGGGCCGGGCCGGAGGGCCGCGGGTTCGAGCCCCGCTGCAGCCGAGAGCCCCGCACGCCTGGTGCAACAGCGGATTCTTATTTGTTTTGCTAATTTTTAATACATAATAATATAATATTAAAAATAATATTATAGTTTAATATTATATCATTATTAAATTAAATTAAAATTAAATAGTTTATGTATTATACTATAATATATAAACAATTTTAATATTGAACTATATATAATATAGGGCTCCGCACTCCTGGTGCAAAAGCAAATTCTTATTTGTTTTGCTAATTTTTAATACATAATAATATAATATTAAACTATAATATTTTAGTTTAATATTATATAATTATTAAATTAAAATTAAACTATAATATATAAACAGTTTTAATATTTAACTACATATACTATCGTTCAATATTAAAATTGAACTATACATATTAAATATATTTATAAGATTTTTTAATATATCATATTATTATGAAGAGAGTTCAAGTAAGATTTGGAAAATGCTCCCAAGCACATAGCAGGATTCATTGGGTGTACTGAGCAGGGCCAAGACTTGAAGATCCTGATGGGTCCCCTTCAACTCAGCATATTCTATGATATTTATAATATATCATATTTATTTTTATGACTTAACCTAAGTTAACTAACTTGCCCCAGAAGTTGACATGGTAAGCTAAAATTCTTCCTTAAAAACACAGTTTTGCCAGCATTCCATCACTCATGTGGAATTTCCTCTCCTGCCCACCTCCCTCTATTTTAAACCCACACTTTTAGTGCATTAATTTATGTTGCAGCGTTACACCTGCACAGAGTGCTCTAAGGAAACTCAAATTACTTTTCCTTCAGTCAGTGAAGATTCTGCAGTTCAGCCTAAGCCAACAGGGAAGGCTCAGGAGAATGGAGATGGTTTTAACCCTCCCTACACAGACCCATGGCACTGCACAGCTCATTTCAGCACACAAATGGAACCTTTCCTTCATTGGAGAGACAAAGAAAAGTTTCATGTTGGACAGCTGCAGGGACAGCAAGGCCCTTCAGCCACCGAATTTCCAATCCGTGGTCAAATTAACGCAGAATTGCTTCTTAAAATCAGGCTGTCATTAAGTTCTCCAGTGCTAAGAGTTTCTAAAAATTGATTCTGTGGGGCTGATGGACACTAATAGTATATGAGAAAGGTTTTCTCCTTTACTTCTTTCCCAAATGCTAAGAGTAAGTAGAACTGTGAAACTAATCTCTTCACTTCAATTTCCATGGGTAACTGAAGTGTGCAAATTTTGCCACCACATTTTAAGAGGCATGCTAATATCCTTCAATCAGTTATTCCTGGAATTTAATTTTTCACCACATCTGAGGAAAATTCTGTTGTGCAATTACACACTTGTAGTAAAAGAAACAAAAACACCCCAACAGACTTTTGATCTATGCAGAGAAATACAATTTATTTAAATAATCTCTGATCCGGGTCTTCTTGTACAAAAATAAATTCTTCAAGAGGGGTTTGATGATCTGTCGGCCAACAGCTTCTCTCACATGTGTAAACTATAACAGTTCCAAATTCCACTGACAGATCTAAAAACAAAGCAACAGAAGTACATAAGGGTATGAAAAGTAATAATCAGGGGCTAGTGCTTACGACTAGACTTCAGTCTTTGCACAAATTAATTCAGTCTCCTCTGTAAACAGCATTTTCTAATGTTAAACATTTTAAAGGCAGACAAATCAGAATTTTCAAAGGGATCTTTAAATGTCTGCAATCTTATCTCACAGCATTTATTATCTTTCAAGGCCTCCTTTAAGAGGCAATAAAGACAGATACTCCCATGGCCATGGAATTATCCCTACTGCAGTTATTGAAGTTCACTAGTGAGCAACTCAAGCTGTAGTCTCCATGTAGAAGAGTTCTCTCTTTGCTCACTGAAATGGAGACAGCAGATTCTCTGAACTGTGGTTAAGCACGTGTGGGTAGCTGGAAACAACCCAAACTGCAGTCCACTGCACTTTCCCAAAAAGGAGACTGCTGGAAGCATTGATTCAGCCAAGGCAAGCACCTGAGTCACTCTGGAGCATGCTGACCAGTGTGGGCATCAGCTGGAACTCAAACACTCTGCTGCTCCCACAGGCACTGCAGGCTGGAATACCCTGCTCCAGGTTGGCTGGAGGACACGTGATGAATAAAGGCTGGCCACCCCAAGAGTATCTGAGAGAAGACAGGGAGGAGAAAATTATCATTTTTTAAGTATCTAAATTTGATAGGAAATCTTACGTGTTGTAAACAGTGCTCAGGAGTTGCTGAAATCTCTGAACCTGCTTCAAGCAAAAACACGGTGGTGAGCCAGAAGCTTCAAAGGAGTCATGAACCATAAAATAAAGACAGGGAGGGGCAAAGACTTGGTAGGTTAACACTTGGAAAATCTTAAGGAAAGAGGTGGATAAATGCTTTCAATGGACACCTCCAAAAGATGCTGTACCAGAATCATTTCATTAAGTAAACTACACTTCCCTGAAAAATGGAATCCTAAAAAGCAGCAATAAAAGATAAAATTCAAACAAGATTTAACACCAAATTGGTCTCAAAACCACTGCAGCTATGGCTCAGAAGTGATGGTTAATTTTTAAGAGGTATCAGAGCTTCACAGGTAGCAGGAAACAAAGACCAAGGATGGTTTCCACTGAATGCCAGAAAGGAGATTCTGTGCTCTGCAGGCAGGGGAAATGGGAGTCACTGACAGTGCCAGGGAGGGCAAAGGGAGCCTGTGGAAAGCCTGTAACCAGGGACAGCCCAGGGAGCAGCAGAGCTGGTGTTTTAGAGGAATCGCAAATTCAAAGAGCACAATACTGCAAAGAGACAGACCCAGTGAAAAGCTGTCTGAAAATGCTACTTGCACTCTGCATTAGAAAATCTCCTGTATAATCTTTGACAATGAATGAAAGTTTCTCATGTTTCATTTCTGTCTAAGCAGCCACTCAGACTTTTGGCTCATCATCAAAAAGGGCCCAGTTAGTTCCACCTGGTACTGGAAAGCTGGTGAACAAAAGCCCTGTCACTACACTCAGACAGCCTGACCAGACAGGCAGCCCTGGACTCCCTGGAACAGCTGGTGTGATCCATGAAAAGCTGTATTTTCTGGTACTATGAATGATTTATGATTTACTCTTCTCTATATCCCATCCAGAATTAACTTCTCTCTCAGGAAGAGCAGCTACTCTGAGGTTACACCTGCTTCTGCTCTAGGATAAACAGCAGATTTACAACACCTGAAGAGTGCTGGGTGCTGAGGGGAGTCCACAATGAGCTGCAGCTCCAGGGCTTTAAAAGAAGAAATTCCCTGCAGGACAGACATTAGAAATTCCAGACAGATAAAATTTCAGAGGAGCAGATAGCCTTGGAAATGTATCACAACAGCACAGCACTGTGTTACACTTCCACCCCAATACTGCCTCAGGGAAACCTCTGTGCCTGGATTTCAGTGAGGCTCCAAAGACACTCAGGGTCTCTCCTCATCAGGTCTGATGTCTAAAGCCTCCCACAGCAAGAGCCATGGTCCCGGATCCTGCTGGGCTTTTCATCTACTTAAACTTTGTATGAAGAAAGCCCAACCAGGGACTGAAGGCTGACCAGAAACATGGCAACAGCCTCCACGGCAGCTTTTTTTTAATTAAGGAATTAAAACATACACATATTTCCAAATAAAAAATTTATTTTGATGTACCAACCATCCATGCCAATGATTTGTATCTCCCTATTATGGCCAGATTATCAACATACCTTAAAATCTGTTCAGGACATAGAGATATTCTTTTCATGAATTTATGGAATGTGTGGTCCCAGTTTTTAACTTCACTCTTCTCATATTTTTCATTACCATCTTCACCTGCAAAACTGTATGAAAACAAGAAACAAACTGTCCAGTAAGGTTTTCAATATGACATGTTTTAAATAGGAAATGGTTACTATAAAGTCAAATTATACTAAATACACTGAAAAAGATGTACCTGTTACGAGAAAATTTCTGTTAGAGGTTGCAAGTAAACATTTTGCTTCTAGTTCTTTGGTTTCTGATGACTTACAATTACTAACAGTGTTTTCAACTATCACATGGGACTCAAATCCATCAGATATCTGCTGTATTCAATCAAAACCACTTCCTCTAATAACTTCTCAAACATTTTTGTGCCTCTTAAATTATGATGGTATTACTTTCAATTTTGAATCAAGCATAATTAAAGTTCTACAATTTTGTTATGGTCAACAAAAATCAACAGGACCAACACTGCTAAAACGTCTTCTCTGCAGATTCTGCAGTTGACAGCAGCTTTAGTTACAAACAAATCCAATGCTGTCCCCAATCCAGGCACAAGAGGCCAGAAGTCCTCACTGTAACCCCTTAGTTAAATACTTTACTAAGAAAATATTTTCAGGAACCAAGCTCAACAAGTGTTTTTCAGGCAACCTTTACTAAACCTTCAGGTGTCTTTCCATCAGCCAAAGTCCCCTAAAAAAGTTAAACTCCTAAAAATACAACTGAAATGCAAGAGAAGCTTTAGGTCTGTAAAGGAAAAAGCATGGAATGTCATGATCTAAAGTCCTGCCATGTGGCACAGATCTTGTTTCAGGGATTAACCACCCACTGCACCTCCTGGAGCCCATGAACACTGCTCAGTCCCTGAGAAACAGCTGAGCTAAAAGCACCTTGGAGTAACTGCAGCTTTGGCAGCACTGGGTGCACTGCACAGCACCCCAATGGTTCCTAAAGGAGCTTCCAGACAATTGTCACCAGTCAGGTTTAGTGAGAGTGCCACTGAGATTCTCAGCCAGCATACAGGAAAGCACACAATTCCTTCAGTTTCACCATGAACTGCAGACCTGTTCTCACCTTTCTGACATCATCTGCTCCAAATCAAGGCACTCTCTCTGCTGATACTCCTTCAGTAGCTTATCTGCATGATCCATATCAAGGAAACCCATGTAATCTTCCTCATCCACAACGTTGATGTAGAAGGGCTGGAACACAGGAGCTGAAGCAGCCATTGCCATCACCATGTCCTCACTGGCTGCAGGAGGTGTGTCCTGGGCACCTGGGCCATGGGCAGGCTCAGACAGGTGGAGCTGCTGGAGCTGGGATGCACATTCCACCTCGCTGCTCACAGCTTCCTTTAGGCCAAGCAGCTCCAGAGAGGCACATGCAGGAGCCTCTGCTCCATCACAGGCTCCCCAGTCATCTGCATCCTCACACCAATCCTTTGCAGCAAAGGTCGATTCTTGTTTCTGAGAATAAAATAAAAAGGGGAAGAAAACATTGTCAAGGTCTGCCACCCTGATGCACTTCAAATTCAACACACCACGTTTACGTCCCACACCAGCAGTAATGGCAAAACCACTTCACGCTGGAGAATCTGAGCAAGAATTCATCAGCCTCTGAGTGGCCCTGGTGCTCCTGCTGCCATGCCCTGGCTGTGGCACAGCCCCTGCCAGCTGAGGGGCAGCTCCTGCTGAAGCAGCTCCTGCACCCAACGGGAATTCTGCACCCAAAGGGCAGAACACAGAAGGAAGTAACAATAACACCACCATCATTTTACCAGAGTAAAACCCCATTTACCTCAGGCCAAGATTCCACCAACTGAATAAATCCTCCCTGCCCACCCCCACTAGTTTGGTGCTACCCTACTCTTCCAACCTGCTTTAGCCAATATGCAGTTTTTCCTTCCAAGCTTATTAATAGTTATTGAGTCACATTAATTCATAATCTCATGTTAAATTTAAAGAGATCAATTTAAAAAAGAATACAAAGAAAACAGGTTAAAAATCCAAACCTAAACAGTATAGCCCAATCCACTTGAAGTTGGAAAATAAAGTTTAGACAGCTGAACTAACTAGAGTATAAAGTATCACTTTTGGCCATACAGCTGGACTGCAATGTCCTCTTTAAAACCAGCCTGGCATAGATCACAAACAGTAGCTTAAGCACTCTTTAACTAGTAAACAGTGTAGCGCAGTGACAAAAACTCCGTGCCCCACGACTTCTCCACACAAGCCAGCACGTAGCTGGAAACCATCACAGCTTCTGGAGGAAGGTCCCGGTTATTCAAACAAGGCGAAGCAGGGTGTGCAGAGCGTCCCCCCGGGCAGGCAGGGCTGAGCTGTACCTGTGTGACGCTGAGAGCTCGGCTTTGCTTGTCGTGGACCTGCGAGTACTGGGAGCGCAGCACCTTCCAGCTTCCATGTGCCGGGCAAAGAGAAACACAGGGTGAGGGGGACAACTGACCAGCGGCACGAACAACAACCACAATAACAGCAATAATAACACAATAACAACAACAACCACAATAACAGCAATAATAGCAGCAACAATACCAGCAATAA